AGGTATGTATCATTACCATGGAAACAAACCTCATGACTTTCTGTTAATCACTATGGCAATGCCACGTCTGATTGCCCCTGCGAAGCGTCTTCTTGAGCAGGGTTTTAAATTTGCAAGCTTCGCCACCCAAAGCTACCAGGCTTATGAAGCCAACATTGACTTTGAGATCAGGTGTGTGTTTTGTGTGTACTTGGAAGTTTCTGAAACTGGTGGTGTGTGGTGGACATTGTTTGCTTGACCCGACAAAGCATCTGAGATATGCTGTATGTACATGTGATGGCAGGTTCATGGTGGACAGTGATGTGGTCGGTTGCTGCTGGATTGAGCTTCCTAAAGGGAAGTACAGGCTGAGGGAGGAGAGAAGTGAAGGACAGACAGGCTCAAAATATCCCGGAAAGGTCAAAACAACAAAACAAAAAACTGTGATGTATTAAACTGCCACACTTATCTGGTGTGTCTTTAATCTACTGTATATCTCTCTCTCAGGTGTCCCTGTGTCAGTACGAGGTGGATGTGGCATGGAATGACTTGGTCAGTCATCCAGCTGAAGGAGAATGGCAGAGGATCGCTCCACTCAGAGTACTGAGCTTTGATATTGAGTGTGCTGGCAGAAAAGGTGTGTGTGTGTGTGTATTTTTAACTTGTTTAGGCTGTTTTAGTTTAGCTTATTCTGGTTTCAGTGGCAGCCCATAAAACCACATGGAGGAAAGTTGTGTAAAAAGTTGTGAATCTGACACACTGATTGTGTTTGACCTCAATATTTCTGGTGGAAATTTTAGTATCACTATCATCACTATTTGTGACCCTGGACCACAAAATCAGTCTTAAAGGGGTCCTATTATGCTCTTTTACAAAGTCTTGATTTTGTTTTGGGGGTGTACTAGAACATGCTCTCATGCTTGGTGGTTCGAAAAACGCATTCTTTTTCACATAATTTACATTATTACAATAGCTCTCTCCCCAGGCAGGCACAAACGGCTCGATTAGTTCCGGCTTTGATGAAGGTCCGCCTTCCGAAAAACAAAATGTGTTGTGATTGGTTAGCTTTCCCAGTGCGTTGTGATTGGTGAACAGCTTAGACGGTGTTTCAGTACTGCCACGCCCCTTGCTCCGTTTGCAACCACTGTTTCCGGACATCATCCGCTTTCGGAAGCCCGAACAAAGACGTTTGGGCACGGAGGTGAAAGAACAGCGTTTCAGGCAGTCGCGCACCGGACGAGAAGCGCAGCGTCACGCCACGGCTTTAAAATTCAAATACATTATTTTCTATGAGTGTAGGCACACCGGCGGCGCCGTTCGGCGTCTGTCTGCGGCGCCCAGCTACGTCGTGTTATACTTGTAAGAATTGTTCTAG